ATTGTAAAATAGTTTTTTTATATGTTGCACACCGGGTGAAGGATCAGTCGTGTAACATCGACGGTCGCTCCTGTAGGCATTTTAGCATTATCAATATTTCAAGGTGACAAAATTTTATAATTTAAATAATATGTAAGATTGTATGACCTAATGCAGTTTTGCGCTCCCTTTTTTTGGGTTGGTATTACGAGAATATTCAATTTTTGCAATAAGGTTAATTAAATATCCTTTTAAGACAAGTAAACTTAGGGCGCGCATACATTGTTTGGATAAATATGCAAAACCAAATGCGCCAAAATTTTATAATCTTTTTTACTATAAAGCTTTCTTCGCCAGGTTAATTCTTAATTCTAGTTTAGTTTAAAGGAATCATTGTCATTGTAATCGCATAACAACACTGTATGTATTCGTATCAACCTTCATACCAACCTTCGTACCAACCTTCATACCAACCTTCGTACCAACCTTCATATCAACATTCATATCAACCTTCACATCAACCTTCACACCAACCTTCACACCAACCTTCATATCAATCATATCAATCAAATTATTATGTAGCAGCAAGTACTGGATTGCCATCTTCCTCCAATGGAGGCGGAAATGAAACTAATAACTCATCGAAGAAATACTTACGTTCGTCGATATTCCAGGGTGTTATCCTCAGTTGGATCGTTTCGGTTTTAATGTTATTACTAGCAATCATTGTAGCAAAGCAAGGTCAAGTGAAGGACAGTAATGTCATATGGGACTTAAGAGTTGGGCTTTTCTTGACGGCTGTAACAGTAATCACTATAGTAACGTCATTTGTTGTAGGGTTTATAGTACCAGCCATATTAGCAGGAATCCTTATAATAAGCCAAACGTCCAACTTAAACGGAACAGGTACGATGATTAGTCAATTAATGGAATCGGCCATGTCTCGTAGTCTATGGTGCACTTTGACAGCTTGCTTTAAATCCAATAAAACTCGAAAACTAGCTATTATGATTGCCTTAGTCATAGTGTGGCAATATGTTGCAACTTTGGCTGACTTATATCTTCATGCCACTGCTATCGGAAATTCCCAACAAATGCCTGGACCAACAATTCCAAGCGCCAGATCATTAGAAATAGCAAATAATTGTTCTGAGATATCTTATTCAAATAATTGTGCATCACAAAATCTGAATCCAAGAAAAATATTAACAGTTTACCAAAATACAAGTGATACCTTACAAATTCGGAATAATGACGACGGTATTTATCTTTTGCAATCACCACCTTCAGAAAAAGCCTATTCATATTCAGGATCAGGTGTCTTTTTGCGTTCCTCTTGTGTACCTATTAGTAGTATATGTAATTTAAAAGCCAGATTTGGTTCCAACACCAATTATTCTTGTCCTGGAACATTGTGGTTTGCCTCAGGAAATACTGTAACGAAAGAATTTGATATAAACGTTACCAGCGCAATTAATAGCCAAGGAAAATATGTAGCATCTAATCCCATACATGCAATTGTCACTGCACGCTACAGTCAAGTAGTTTCAACGAATTATGATTCAGAGTTCGTGACTGAAGTACATGGTGATCTTTCAATTTTATTACACTGTCAAATATTAGCTTCAAAGATCGATTACGTTATTACTCTTGGATCTTTAAAAGTATCCTCACAAGAAAATCTTACGAATTCTCAAATTTTTACTCTCGGTGCTGCATCAATGAATTATAACATGGCATTTCGATCGATAATTGCTGCCCAAGTTATAGCAAATAAAGGAAATAGTACATTATTCGCTAATTCATTTGCACAACAATGGGCTCGATCAACAATTTCTGCATTCAGTCCTATTGTACAAGAAAATAGTGCAGGAGGGGGATATTCTTATGCAATCGAGGTGAATAAAGACCAAACCATTGTTCCACTTTCAGCAGTCGCAATTTATGCTATTATTGTCATATTGCCGCTGTTAATTTTCTCGTATATATGTGTTTATTCTCTATTTAATCGACACACAAATTGGATACTTGCAGAATTCATATGTACACCACAAAGATTGCTTTATCAAACCTTAGTTAATGGACATAATGTGAATGATGGTTGTTCGGAAAGCTTGGCAGCACAAGCAAATAAAATGGAAAAAATTGAGTGCAGTGTTAAAATAAATAGGAATCATTGTGAGTTTTCGTCACAAATTTTAACAAATAATTCGTAATATAATCTTATTTTGTCAGTGCCAATAAACAAAAATAAAATTTCTTTTTAAATAGAAAAATAAAGATATCGAAATGTTTAGCCCTTTTTTTTTTTTTTGATGGTATGCAAGAAATTGCCTTACATTGACGTAATTTAGGCCGATGACCCTAATTTTTGATTTTTAGATTACGAATAGAAATAAATACGTAGTTTTATATTTATGCTGTGCATACTGCAAATATTTGGGTAAGAATGTAATGCATTACACAGCATATATTCTCCAATACAATAATAACCGAATTTACTAATCTCAAAAAAGAAATATAACAAAACATGTACACACAATAGCATGTACTGTGCGAATGTCTTGAAACTTATAGATTTAGATCTTTGAATCGTTTTAATTATTAACTCTTTCTGGGTGTTGTAAGCATATGAACAGAACATTTTCAAATATTCCTATCAAACGCCAAGTTTTTAGAATCATAGTTAGTTGATATGAATTTACGCTCACCAATATTCCAAGGCATTATTCTTGGCTGGGCTGTTTCTATAATAGTATTATTATTAGTGCTCGCCGCTGGAACACGAGGTCAAAGGAAAGATTTCAATGTTACATGGGATCTGCGTGTAGGTCTATTCTTGACTGCTGTCACAATAATTACAAGAACAATATCTTTTGCCGCCGGATTTATGGTACCAGCCATTTTAGCAGGTGTACTCGCCTTTAACAAAATTTCTAATTTAAATGGGCCAGGTACAACGATTAGTCAATTAATGGAAGCATCTATGTCTCATAGCCTATTTTGCACTTTGAAATCTTGCTTTAACTCTGGCCAAACTCGTAAGCTTGCTATCGCTATTGCTTTTGTTTTTGCATGGCAATATTTAGCAACGATAGCAAATTTATACCTTCATACAACTGCTATCGGAAATTCTCAACCACTGCCTGGAACAACAGTCTCAAGCACCAAATCGTTAGATATAGCAACCAATTGTTCTGATACAGCTCTTTCAGACAATTGCGTGGCACGTAAACGTGGAATGAAAAATGAAGATAAAGCATTGGATGTGTACTATAATACGAGTGATTCTCTAAAAGTTTGGCACACTAATGATGGCGTTTACCTTTTGCAATCACCGCCTGCAGAGCAAGCCTATTCATATTCTGGATCTGCCGTTTTTTTAAAACCTTCCTGTAAACCTATTAGCAGTGTGTGCAATTTAAGGAGCATAAATTTCAATGTTACAAGTTACAACTGCCCTAAAACACTATGGTCTGCTTCGGGTGATTTATTAAGTAATGATACAATGATATATGATATAGGCATAAACGTTACCAGCGCAAATTTTGTCTTACAGCAACGCTATGTAGCATCTAATCCTATAGAAGCAATTAATTATGTACGCTATGTTAAAGATTATTCAACTAATTATGATTCTGAGTTTGTGAGAGAATTAAATGGTAATGTCACGATTTTACTACATTGTCAATTACTCTCCTCAGTAGTCGATTATGTTGTTACTCTTGGATCTCTAAAAGCATCTTCACAAAGAAACTTGACAAATTCACAACTTTTTAATCTTGGTGTTGCGTCAAAACAATATTTAGTGACGCGTATAGCACAACGTGATATCGAAATCGTAACTTACAAAGGAAATAGTACATTATTTGCTGATACATTTGCGCTGCAGTGGGCCCACGCAAGATTTCAAAGTGCAAAATAGGCTATGAGACATAGATGCTTCCATTAATTGACTAATCGT